TGACCCACTTTAACCTCTATTTTTTTTTAAGAGATTTTATTTATCTCTCTCAAAGTCCCCCTGTACATAGTTGTATATTCTTAGTTGTGGGTCCTTCTAGTTGTAGCATGTGGGACGCCGCCTCAGCGTGGCCTAACGAGAGGTGCCACGTCCACGCCCAGGATCCGAACAGGCGAAACCCTGGGCCGCCGAAGTGGACCTCAAGAACTTAATCACTCGGCCACAGGGCCAGCCCCCTTAACCTCTAGTTTAAAGAAACCCTGGGCCGCCGAAGTGGACCTCAAGAACTTAATCACTCGGCCACAGGGCCAGCCCCCTTAACCTCTAGTTTAAAGAAACCCTGGGCCGCCGAAGTGGACCTCAAGAACTTAATCACTCGGCCACAGGGCCAGCCCCCTTAACCTCTATTTTAAAGAAACCCTGGGCCGCCGAAGTGGACCTCAAGAACTTAATCACTCGGCCACAGGGCCAGCCCCCTTAACCTCTATTTTAAAGAAACCCTGGGCCGCCGAAGTGGACCTCAAGAACTTAATCACTCGGCCACAGGGCCAGCCCCCTTAACCTCTAGTTTAAAGAGAAGCTGCAGGTTTATCAGATCATCACTGAGCAGCCAGCAGCAGTTTAATGTGGTTTGTCTGGGTCACATGAAACCACGAGGAAGGGCAAATTCAAAATATGCGTTACCAGTAAACATGATCTTCACTAAAAACAAGTTATTAGTTCAATATTTTTAACTTAAAATGAAAATTCACTTGGGGGAAAAGGACTCTTTTTTACTACAAGACAATATTTTTGTTTCTGCTGCCAGAAGACAAGTTGGTAGATATGATAAAGGGGGCGCAAGCATGACAGGACGACCGTGAGGAAGCCAAGGTGGGCTACTGCTGTACAGTCAAGGCGAAGACGGCACAACGGCCAGGCCAGAGCTTCAGACTGCAGGCGGTGACCCATCACACGTCCTATCTTTCCTGGGGTACACACCAGTACAGAACAGAAGAGAGTGCAACATTGTGCTAAGAGTGAATACCATTCGAGCAGCATTTATTTCAGCCACACGTGTGTAAGCACGTATATATGTACTGAGTGCCTGTGTGAAATGTTTTTTTCTCAGTGTGTCCCAGAGACAAAAAGTTGAGGCTCCTGCTGACTCCACCACTTCACTGCTGTGTGAGTTTGGACTCTCCCTCAGCTTTAGCTTCCTGATCTGTGAAATGGTGCTGAAAATAGAAACTGGACAATAATGGTTGTAGAAAACATTCAATGAGATAATGTACATAAATCATAGCATCTGACACATGGTAAGCTCTTGATAAGTATTTTTTTTTTTAAAGATTTTATTTTTTTCCCTTTTTCTCCCCAAAGCCCCCCAGTACATAGTTGTATATTCTTCGTTGTAGGTCCTTCTAGTTGTGGCATGTGGGACGCCGCCTCAGCGTGGTTTGATGAGCAGTGCCATGTCCGCGCCCAGGATTCGAACCAACGAAACACTGGGCCGCCTGCAGCAGAGCGCGTGAACTTAACCACTCGGCCACGGGGCTAGCCCCAAGCTCTTGATAAGTATTAATTTTTAATTAATATATATCCTAATTAAACATGGTAGCTATCACCACCTGGAAACTGGCTTAATAATTAAGATTTTTCATTTTAACTTTTAAGTAAGATCACCTGTATCATATAAAAATAAAAACTAAAGCAATAAAGCCCAACAAAAAATGTTTCTTACAGAAAACAAAATAAGATCCACCAACTCTGTTGTCAAAATCTTGACTTATCACCAGGCCAAGATCTGAACAGAATGACCAAGTTTGGTGCTTCTGCTTCCCTTCCGGCGTTTGCAATTACACCATTATCCAAAACCTTTTGGTCTTCTTAGTCAAGTGTTGTCATTCTGTACCATTCAGGTAAAAATGCCAACTGCCAGACTTCACACACTCATAATGGACGGCGAGTTCATGAAGCAGTCGCTCAGTGAAGGCAGCATAACAGCTCTTCTACAAAGAAAGACCAGGTTTGAAGCACCAGTCAGACACGTATGGCTACGGACCTAAGACCAATTATATGACCTCTCGAAACGGCAGTGTCCACAACGATAAAGGAAGACGAGTCATCCACCCCTTTTAGGGTCCCTTGAAATTAAAGGCACGAAGTAAGTATACAAGCACCTAGCACAAAGAGAACTACATATGTCAACTCCAGTCCCCTTTACTGACAAGGCCATCCTGCCACTCCTTAAACATTTCAAGTAACAGAATGTTCCCATCTTGCACCTACTCCAATTATATGAATCAGATCGACTAGAAAATTCTCTCTCATACTGATAGGAAAATACCACAAGTTCAAAGAAGGAAAAGATCATGATGACCTGAAGTAGGTCGAGACAGCTTCACTCAAAGGCCACTTCATGAAAGCAGTATGTCCGAGAAGTGGGCCTGGAAAGATGCAGGAGATATGGATGAGCAGAAAAGAGTGAGAAGGTTAACTGTTCAATCACTCATTCACTGATTCACTGTCATCAAAAATACGCTCAAAGTGCCAAGAACTCTCTAGACGCTGAGGATCCAGTAGGAAAATAAAACAGACTAAGGTCCCTGCCCTCATGAACTCTATATTCCAGTGGAGCAAGACAGAGAAACAAACAAGTTATACGACACACAGGAAGTCAGAGTGTGATAAAGGCTAGGTAGAAAAAAGAACTAAGTGGGTAAAGAGAACAGGAAGTGCTTAGAAAAAGAGGCGATGCTATTTTAAAGACAATGGTGAGAGAACACACACCGATAAATGGCATTTGAGCAGAGGCCTAAAGCAAGGAGCCACTCAGGCATATCCAGGGAAAGGGTTCCAGACAGTATAGCAAGCGCAAAGGCCCTGAGGTTATTCTAGTAGAATAAAAACCAAGCACACATGTGGATAGGGAAGCACACCATATCTGTGAGCCATGGCATCCAACAGAAAGCAAAGCAGGACAGCATAAGTGAACACACAAGCTGAAGACACTGCCGAGAGCCTTGACTCGCAAATCTGACTTCATAACTATGAGCATAAAGGAGTCACTGAATAGTTTTGAATACGCAAGTGAAATGAAGGAAACCACAACATAAGAAAAAGCATATACTCAATACTCAACATATTCAGAGTCTATGCCTGTTTGTTAACTACACAGAACCAAAAGTAACTTGCTTTTTCTTCATTTTCTTTAGATCTGTCTGTCTCAATTAATACCAGCTTTCAGCTTGAAGCAGAAAAAAATAATTTAAATAATTAGTGTCTCTATATACATTGGAACTGTTGCTTTAACAAAAGCCTTTATATGAGGAAAGCAGAAACTGTTGGCTAAAATGATATTCTGAATTATCTATAAAGTTCAACTACTTTCTTGTCTCGCAAGTTCACAAATAATGCAAATGGCTGACTTAGCCCATACAATGTCTTTGATATCAGTAATAAACCAATGAAACATTGATATATGAAGATTTTAACAAATATCATTGTGGAATACATTAGCCTTGTTTACATTTTTAGCAACGAAAAATGCAAAGTCTAAGCCAAATTCTGCACCAGTTTGAGAATAGCTATCTATAATTATATAAACATGTTTTCAACAGTACAAAATAGAAGATGATCTTTGAAATGTGAAATATTTAATAATATGCTACAGAGTATAATGAAATGTTTTAATTTGACTTGAAAGAAATCTGTGCTATCAGCAGTCAGCAAAGTAACATCAGATTTATACACGAGGAGCACACCCAGTCAGTCAGCAGTCAGGCGTGGAACTGACAACGGAACAGCAGAGGACTGGCCATCGACAGTTCTGTCATTTTCTCCTATGCTGTGTTAGTCACTCTAAGTATGTCCTGAAGACAGGTGTTCCAAAGAAATTGAAATAGAACTATTCTCTTCAAAGCGACTAGGAGAAGTTTGTTTCAATAAAAAGAAACATATTTAAAAGTAATTTTCTTTTCATGCCTTTTTTCTAATAAAATACTATACTGAGTTCTGTTTCCAACCAATATGAAGAAACAGACATGGAATTTACTCTACTGACTAAAAAAACTTAACAAAACAAAACATAAAATAACATTCCGGGAGAGATTGGAAATCAAGAGATGGAAAACAAGCTGGGTGAGGGGCCTACAATGAACTCAGCGCATTGCCAGGGAGTCCAGACCACAGCACAGGGAAGGTGAAGCCGGGAGCTGCCCAGATCTCACCGACTCAAGGAGACGGAGCTGGGAGTCCACAGAGACCAAGGGGGCTAGCTGTCAGAAGGCAGCGCACAAGAGAGGGGAGAGACGCAGAGAGAAGTCCTTAGATCTGCAGAAGGTCTCCTGTGAGCACTCCACCATGTACCGATTAACGCGCACATGTGAGGAACAGTAAGAACCGCCCAAAACTGTTAGAGCGAACGATCTTAAAGCTCAAAATAGGCAGCAATGTTGTCTGTGCCCACCAGACAGACTAGAAAATCTCACCTTTCATGGCCCATCAGATGTGGTAACAGATGTTAGCTCAGGTGTCAATCTTAAAAAAAAAATACTAGGGACAAACAGAAAAATCTTAAAAGCAGCTGCATATATCTGTAGTTAAAAACCTCCAGCAAAAAAAACTTCAGGCTCAGAAGGCTTCACTAGGGAAATCTACCAAACAATTAAGGACTGATACAAATTCTACACAAACTCTTCAGGAAACTGCCTGGGGTTGGGGGGTGGGCAGCCCAGCCCACATCACAGGAAAGGAAACCTACAGATCAACGCCCTTCATGAAGATCTGCAAAAATTCCTACTAAAGTTTCAGCAAATCAAATCCAGAACAGAGGAAAGACAGCGCATCATGACCCAGTGTGGCCTGTCTCAAGGACAGAAGGTTAAAGTGCAAAATCAACATAATTCACTATATTAAAGAACTGAAAAAGAAAAACTATATGATCTCAATAGATGCAGAAAAAGCATTTGCTAAAATCCAACATCCATTTCTGATTAAAAAATGAAATCTCAGTAAACTAGGAATAGAAGGGAATTTTTCTCAACTTGATAAAAATCATCTATGAAAAACCTTTAGCTAACATCATACTAAAGGGTGAAACTCTGAACGCTTCCCCTCTTTAACACTATGAACAAGCAAGTCCATCCTCACCGCTTCTATTTTACTGAAGGTTCTAGCTAGTGAAATACGGTAAGAAAAAGGAAATTAAAGGCATCCAAATTGAAGAGGAAATAAAAATTGTCTTTACTGGAGGATGACAATCACCTAGGTGGAATATCTGATAGACTCTACAAAAAAGCTACTAAAACAAATACGTGATGTCAGCAACACTGCAGGATAGAAGACAAACATGCAAAAATCTACTGCATTTCTATATTCCAACAACAAACAATTGAAATTTAAAAAATACCATTTACAGCAACATTTAAAAATAAAAACTTAGAGATAAACCTAAGATAAGCAAGACCTGTACACTGAAAACAATAAAATATTGCTAAGAGAAATTAAATAAGATCTAAATAAACAGAGATACACTTTGTTCATGGACTGTAAGACTCCATATTGTTAAAGATGTCAATTCCCTCCCAAATAGATCTACAGACTCAAAGCAATTCCAACTAAAATCCCAGAAGACTACCGTGCAGAAACTGACAAACTGATTCTCAAATTCCTAGGGAAATTCAACAGACCTAGAAAAGGCCAAACAACTTTGAAAACAAAGCTGGAGGACTTCCACTACCTGACGTCAAGACTCATCATAAAGACAGACTAACAAAGACAGCGTAATATTGGCATAAAGGCAGACAAACAGATCAATGCAGCCTAATTAAACCCAGAAATCCAGGCACACCTCACTTGATTGCGCTTCGCAGACATGGTTTTTCACAAGACTCTCCACCAGAAAAGATTACAACTCGCTGAAGGCTCAACTGAAGGTTAACATTTTTTTAGCAATAAAGCATTTTTACACTAAGGTATGCACATTATTTTTTAGATATAATGCTATTGCACATTTAACAGACTACAGCGTAGTGTCAACATAACTTTTATATGCACTGGGAAACCCAAAAACTGTGTGACTCCTTTAGTGCAATATTCGCTTTACTGCAGTGGTCTGGAACCAAACCCGCAAGATCTCCGAGGTACGCCTCTGTAGACTGACATATACGGTCAAACGATTTCTGACAAAGGTGCAAAGGCCATTCAGGGGAGAAGAGAGAGTCTTTTCAAGAAATGGTGCCAGAACGACTGAATATCCATACGCAAAAAAATTAACTTTGATCCACACCTTATATCATATACAAAAGGCAACTCAAAATGGATCACAGCCTTAAATATAAATCTATAAAACTTCTAGGAAACAACATGAAGGAAATCTTCATGATTTGGGTTAGGAAAGGATGCTCATACTTGCCAAAAACACTACCCATGAAAGGAAAAATTAATAAACTGGACCTCATCAAAATGAAAAACTTTTGCTCTGTAAAAGACCATATGAAGAGGATGCTAAAGACAAGCTACAAAGCAGGAGAAAATATCTGCATATATGTGACAAAAGACTAGCATCCAGAACATACAAAGCACTTGCAAAGCTCAAGAGTATGGTGATAATGGGGGAGGTTATACGGGCGTGGGGGCAGGGAGTATACGGGAATCGCTGTACCTTCTACTCAGTTTTGCTGTAAACCTAAAACTGCTCTAAAAAAGTCTATTTAAAAAACCTCAACAGTAAAAAAAATCTAATTAGAAAATAAGGACCTGAACAGATCTGTCACTCAAGGGGATATACAGATGGCAACTGAGCACATGGAAAGATGTTCAACATCATTAGCCGTTAGGGAAATGTAAGTCAAAACCAGTATCACTATCTCTACACATCTAACACAATGGCTAAGAGAAAAAACAGTAACACCACCAAATACTGGCAAAGCTGCGGAGACGCTGGGGCACTCACACACTGCTAGTGGGAATGTAAAATAATACAGCCACTTTAGAAAAGTTTGCCAGTTTTTTAATGATTCTAAACACGCAATTACCATACAACCCAGCAACTGCACTATTAGGCACTTAGAGAAATGAAAAGCTGTGTTCACACAAAAACCTCTACACAAACGTACAGCTTTATTGGTAATTGTCAAAAACTAGAAACAGCCCAGACGTCCTTCAATGGGTGAACGGTTAAACAAACTATGGTACACACATACATACCACAAAATCCTACTTATCAATACAAAGAACACAACCATTAATACAGGCAACAATGTGGACGAATCTCCAAAGAATTATACTGAGTGAATAAAGCCAGTCCCAAAAGTATTGTATGATTCCATTTATATAACATTTTTTGATGACAAAATTTTAGAGTGAAAAACAGATTGGCGGTTGCCAGATCAGGGACAGGGGAGGGAGAGGAACAGGAGGAACATGTGTGGCTGTAAGTGGGCAACACAAGAGATCCCAGTGGTGACGAAGCTGTACATTACCTCACTGTGGCAGCAGACACACGAATCTACACGTGACAACACCGTATACAACTAAATACACACACGCTCACATGACGATACTTTTGCAAGACGTCACCATTAGAGGAAGCTGGGTAAAGTGTCTATTTTGTTAATCAACCAACATATATTAAACTATGATTCACAGAGTCATCACGTCTTAAGTCTCCCTACATACGCTCTCATTTATAGTTCTCCTACCGTACACACAAAGGAGCAAAGAAGCTATCACCTCCATTAAAAGGCACAGAGAAAATATGACCACTATTTTTAACCTAAATTTAATTTTCAAAACAGAGATTGACAGCAGTAGAAATGCTCAGTGCTCTACATTGAGAAAACTGTACTGTAATCATTTGGCAATAAATATGTATAAGGTACGTTAAATTACATGGTACAAAAAAATCTTAAACTAAAGTCCTACTAAACACATTGCCTTAGGTAATTACGGTGCTTTATTGATAAACTGCTTTTATGTGAAAAAGATACACGGCCAAGAAAGAAATTCATTACAAATGTAAGAATAATGATTACTTCACGAAAATAATAATCCTTGTCTTTAAAACTGAACAATTAGAGTGGCACCGCCCCTGCACCGCCTGTGACCGGCAGCCTTCTCTAACCGGCCCCGGCCGACACCGCAGCCCCAGCACGCGGCCGTCCGCCCGGGTGCAGCTGGGGCACGGGGAGGAAGGCCCGGCTGCACGGGCGGTTCGCACCCGGGGCGGGGCTGGCAGGCACGCCCCCCGGGGACGCAGGCACGCCGCGGACACGGCCCCCAGCACGCGGCGGGCCAGCACTTCCCCCTCCGGCACCCCGCCCTGGCGGCAGAGCAGCTCAGCGTGCGGCTGCCCCAAGAGAACACGTTCCCTCCCACAGCACCCGCATCTTCTGCCAACATCCCCTCGCGGCCGCGGGCCGTCAGAGGAACTGCGAGCCGCCGCCCGAGCGCAGACGCGGCGGAGACCCGGCCCAGCCCCGGAGGAGGCTCAGCGGGCGCGCCGGGACCCAGCCCGCCTCCTGCACGGAAGGCACGCGCTCCGACGGGCCAGCGCAGACGGCTCAACACAAACGGACAGCTCTCCCCGGAACCCGGGTTTCGTTAATTTCATCAGTTTACTCCAGAGGTAACTATAATCCTTCAAACAAAAAACAACCCTGCCAAGTGAAATGTCAGCCAAGCCCTGTTTTCAAGGCCACTGACAGATATATTCACGTCATTCCCTGGGCTGCAAAGTAAACTCTAAATCATCTTCCTCACAACTCCGTGGGAAAATAAAGCATGTGTTTCAAAACTAAACTGCAGGAAAAATAAGCCACGAAACATGGCAAAGCTGCCACGGCAACAGCGCGCCGCGAGGCAGCAGAGAAGCTGCTCCGCCTCCCGAGGGCGGGGGCAGGGGCGCGGGGGCGAGGGGGCGCGGGGGCGCGAGGAAGGGGGGCGCAGGGGCGCGGGGGCTGGGGTGCAGAGGCGGGGCGGGCGGTGGGGTGCGCTCAGCACGCCCGAACGGACGCCCTTCTGCAGCCCCCACGTCCACTCTCCCGACCACGCCCCTCCCTACACCCTCTAGCCCAGGCTCCTCTGCTCCCCGCAGGTTCCTGCAATGCTTCTCCCTCGCTCTGCTGCCCCCCAGTCGTGGCCATCGACCCTCCGATCTACACTGCGCTGGCAAACGTCCACGCAGGTGACCCCCGAGTCAAGAAGCACCCCTGTGTGCCCCGCTCCTTACCGCCTGCCTGGCCCGCAGGCCCCCAGGAAGGGAACAGCAGGCACACGCACACACCTGCCACCGGCCTCTGCCCACCCGCACCACTCGGCTGCTCTTCCCCTCTAGGACTGCGTCCACTCTCACCAACTCCCTCCCCCAGCTCCCTTGGCGCCTGAGTGACCCTTCCTCGGGCGGCCTGCCTGTGTCCTGGGGTGAAGCTCCTGAAGGCAGGGCAGGGCTGGTGACACGCCTCTCAGGAACCGCCAGGCCAGCGGGCCAGCAGACAAAGGGTAAAAAAGTAACGGTGGCTCCTTCTCTTCCCAGCCTCCATAACGCACTCTCGTGTGGCTCTAGGCTCAGAATCTGCTCAATTACACTGTCTGTCAAAAAACACAACTCACAAACGCTTCCTGCAAAGTAAGAAAATAACTATGAGCGCTAAAGACAACAAAAACAAGACCTGACATAATTATCAAACTCTTACTCATTTATCAAACCCTTACTGTGTGCCCAACATGACTTCACAAGCTCAGTCAAGCCTCACGACCCTGTGACACAGGTACGTCCATTTTACTGTAATGACACTGAGGCTTGGAAAGTGTAAATACCACACTCCCGCCCCAAGAAAGTAAGGATCGAGGGGAGGCAGGCAGAGAGAAGAGAGAGGAAGAGGGAGGGAGGGAGGGAAAGAGCAGGAGGAAACCAGAGGCAGCCACGGGAGAGCTGAGACTGACCCGGAGCGGCGAGCCTTCACAGGCCAGTGTGCTCCCAAGGCCACAGCGGAGCGACGCTCAATCGCGGAGAACACTGCAGAGGGCAAGTTACTATGTAACTCTTCTTTTTTATTATATGTATGCTGAACTCAAGAAGATGATAAACATGTAAATAAATTCAAAATGTCATAGGGATACCGAAAAACTTACACGGTTCTTCAGGGAACTAACAAACTCTACAATATAGCATTCCCCTGCCATTTTTCAAATGCTGATTTACTCTGGCAAAGAAGTTAACCTGTGGGAATCATGTAACGATTCATTAGTCATCAGATGGTTCAAGATAAAAAGAGAAAACAAAATGAGACAATTTTAAGACTCGAGAATCCTTGTTTCAGCGGACTGTCCTCAAGTTTAGCCTTCTCAAACCTATTCCTTACTCCGTTCAGGTAACTCAGCTTGATTCACAAGTCCAGCTCGGAAGCTGAAAAGCTTGAGCAAGCATGTCTCAGCCTCCTCCACTTGGTGTCCTCGCTCACAAATGCTCAGCACCGCGTACCTGCAGAACTTCTCTCTCAAGCACAAAGATCTTCAACAGTTACAAATCTCTCTCTTTTAAACTATTCGCGACACTCTTTACAGATTTATTCCATGAGATAAGATTTGCCTTTAATTGACACTGCAGACACATCAACAAACAGAATTCCAAGTTTTGAAACATGCTTACATGACTGCCAATTCTGTGTTTAAATAAACTGGTTAAGTAAATACTTAATAGGTAATCATTCTTCACTCTGATTACTAATTTTTTTTTTAATATTCTGCCAACACATAGATACAGTACGGTTAAGCATAAAAACACAGAATTTACCTCCTTTCTCACAGTGGACAATGGCTAAATGTAAGGAGAATGAAAAAATTAACAGGCTGAGGGTTACCTTTCATAAAGGTCAAGGGTAACACATTCATTTGTGGACCCACAGAGCAACAGAAAGGATTCTAGACAACTTGGGTTCATTCTCATGGTCTCTCACTGTCAGAAAGCTCTGAGCAAGTCATTCAGCCTCTCTCGATCTGTCCAACCTCTAAGGGGAGATTAGACCAGATACTATGAAAGGTCTCTTCTACCTCGAAACTTTCTATAATTTCATAGTTACAAAAAGATGTACATCAGAGACTGAAAGTTTGTCCCAGGTGCTCAACTGTCACTTACTCATGGGCTTACAGAATCTAGGGGTCACTGGTGTGGCCTACCACCACACTCAGAGGAATGAATGCTGCCCAGAAGTTTGTGCTGTGGCCCAAAGACTGGTCAAGAGAAAAATGTGAAACAGCCAGCCAACCCCATCCCCAAAATGAAGGGGCAAATCATAAAGGAATAGAAATGACCAATAAGCATATTAAAAAGGTTCAATTTTAAAAGTATCAATAAAATGCAAAATAAAACAGCATGATACCATTTTTGCTGACCATATTAAGGAAACTTTTCAAAATCACGAACACCCAGGACAGGCTGGGCTGCAGAGGGTCAGCCACTCTTTATACATAGTGGTGGGAAGGTCAACTGGGCCAACATTCTGGCAATACAAATCAAACAGGCTTCCACCTGGCTTACTCTAACTACACCTTTCACATATGAGATTTTATTCCAAGGAAATGACTATGTGCACATAAAACTTTAACAGCAGGGCTATTTGTAACCACAAAAGTCAGAAAGCAAATATCCATCAATGAGGGGGCAGATTAGTTTAAAATACTTTAAAATTACTTAAGGATACTTACTATTAGCAAGCATGCTGTGCAGAGTAACCTTGACTCCCCCGCAATGTCCTACCATCCTATTTTCAGCAAGTGACTTCATCACCCAATTGTCCGTCACACTTCAGACCCCTCTCACTTTCTTTCCTCATAAACTCATCCACATTCTTCCTGATCTTTTTCTCCTGTTCAAAGCTTACCACTTAATCAGTGTTTTGAATCAAATTTTCCTCTACATCTTGCATTAATACAGTAACTGTACATACCAGCCCTTCTCCTTAGAGACTCGCCTGCACTGAGCCATGGAAAAGGAACCTGTACTTGCTGTTCCTGCAGGCCTCCCGCCTAGAAACCAAAACGACCAGAGGTGAGCATACGGCCCACGCTGGGCCAGGTCCTTTCACCAGGAGAACAGAATATGACCCAAGGAAAGAGACAACCATTTATAGGAAGCCACACAGCAGGTCACATAGACTGAGAAGCTAATGAGGCAAAGGCAATCAAATGAATAAGGAAAGAAGTCAGTAAAGAATGAAGCAGATGACAAGCGTCACACTTTACAGACCCAGAGATACAGAGACAGCCAAAGACAGAGACAGAAAAAACAGCTGCCTGAGGACTTTCTAGTTCTTTCCAGGTCAAGCTGTGGATGTTGTACTCATTCTGGTGCAACTAGCTAAGACAGAAGCCACAGGAGATATTGTTGATTTGCTCACACAACCTCTATTCCACCCAATTTCTGGTGTGCCTTCCTGTATTCAGAAGATGGAAAGTTAAAAAGCTCTGTTTCTCAGATGCCTTTGTAGTTAGAATTCTGAACAAGAATTAGTTTCTACCAATTAGATGCACTCGTGCGGTATTTGAAAGCAAAAATGAGATGGAAACGATCTTCCTGTCCTTTTTGGCTGTTTTCTGCAGGAAGAGAGGATCACAGAATGTCTAGTCTCTAGCTTCTTGGGAGTGAAGACGAGTTTTGACACGGATGACGGAGAGACCCCCACATTCCAGTCCCCAGTCGCCAGCATCCAGGTGTTGGAAGGTAGCTGTAGCTTTCCAATGCCTGGATCACAGCCTACTTGGTGTTTTCTTAGACTCAACAGTTCAGCAACAGCCTCAGGGCTAGAGGCTCCTGGCGGGAGTCACTCCCGGAGGCTCAGCCTGGAGCACCCCCTCTTCTGCCGCGATGTGGGAGTCACTCCTGGAGGCTCAGCCTGGAGCCCCCTCTTCTGCCGCGATGTGGGAGTCACTCCTGGAGGCTCAGCCTGGAGCACCCCCTCTTCTGCCGCGATGCGGGAGTCACTCCTGGAGGCTCAGCCTGGAGCACCCCCTCTTCTGCCGCGATGCGGGAGTCACTCCTGGAGGCTCAGCCTGGAGCCCCCTCTTCTGCCGCGATGTGGGAGTCACTCCTGGAGGCTCAGCCTGGAGCCCCCGCTTCTGCCCCTCCCAGGGCTTTCATAAGTACCTGATTTCCCGCATGAAAGCATTCCTATCAAGACACGGGGAGGGTTCTGTGTTCTGTGCTGAGGCCCTACTAAAACAACCTCAACTTAAAGATACAAAAAGAATATATGACGACAGTATTCAAAGCCAGTGGCTTTTATAAATCTGACTAAACAAAGTTTTACATACGCTAAAGAAGAAAGTTAGAAAAAGAGAAATATTGGGTGAGGTCTTATTTTCCAGAAAGAAAACCACCAAAGTCATAGTCACCTATGAAGTATTTCTAAGACCACTGAGATAACTTAGATTTTCATATTGCTTGTATTATGGCTATTTATCTTTTGTAGAGAGTGTCTTAAACTGGCAATATACATTATTCTTGTGCCCAGCATGCTCCTCCCCCTCCTGTCATTTACTCATTCAACAAATACTTATGTGCCAGGAAATATTCTAGGCACAGAACAAAAAAGACAAAAATCCGTGACTTCTTACATTCTAGAAAGGGAAACAAATGTTTAACAAAATTAAGTATATAACATATTTGAGTGAGGACCTAACCCGGGTGAGGAGGCCCACCACACACATGCATGTGTGTCTGGATGAAGAACACCCCGGGGATTGGGAAGAGCAGTGTGAACACACACACAGAAGCCTGATGAGGACCCTCAAGAGCAAGCAGGGCAGCGTGGACCACTGCAAGGGCGCTGGCTTTTACTCTGACAGACAAAAACAACGGCGGTCTCAGGTATGGCCGTGAATGATCTAACTGATCTGACTTACCTTTTCAAAGATCACCCTGGCAGCTGTGTTAGAACAGACCACAGCAGGTGAGAACAAAGCTGGGAGACCACTGGAGTCAGCATGGGGACAACGCCAAAGTTCTGGGCCAGAGCAAAAGGGCAGAGTAAGATAGGGAAGACTGCCCAAGGAGCATACTTAGATGAGAAAGCTCAAGAATTCAATTAAGACATGCTAATTTGGAGCTGCTGAATGAACAAGCACAGGCAACTGGATACACCAGCATGGAGTTAACTGGGAGGAGGTCTTTGGGCCTGAAAATACATATCTGGGAGTCAACTTAGAATCGATAGTTAAAATCAAGAGACAAGAGGAGACCAGCAAAAGAGTGAATGCAAACAGAGAGAGGGTCAAGAACTGAGTCCTGGGAGGCAAGCCTCCCTTCCCTTCTGATTAAAAACACCAATGCCCAGTGCTATTTTGCTGAAGTTACTTCTAGTTCTGTTTCTATCCCCTCCAAAGGAAAGTCCTAAATAATGCAGAAAGCCTTGGGGTCAGGATTCACACACCTTACAGAACTTCAATTCGTACGGCAATTAGCAGTTGTGCCTTAACATAACAGGTGCCATAACAGGTGCTCAGAAAATACCTGTGAAATGAATACTTCTTTAAGTAACCTCTGGATAAAATCCAGATCATGAGTGATATTAGATGTTCGAGTGTATCTTCATGGTTTGTGGCAGTTCTTTTCAATGTGTTCTTGGAAAACAGGATGATGGAGAAGTAAAATTAGAGGAACATTCATTATTGCATTTTCAAACAGCCAGACAAAGCTAGAACAGCTCCATGATTACCCTTTTCTGACCAGCATCCTAAAATGATTAGGGGTCTACCATAAAGAGCCAACAGCTAATTTAATTACTCCTTAATCACAGTGTCTTTGCAATAACAGTTTATTTGAATTTTTTTTAACTTCTTTTGTTCTCTTGGTATGTTTACACAGACTCGGAGCATGTTCAGAATAGCTGACACAGGCTGAAAAGCAGTCACTCAGTACAAGCATACAGAAATATCCAGACATACACTGTCAGTGGAGACTAGCTAATTGATGCTATTCTTCCAAGTGGAAAAAAAAAACCTGCAAACCAAAGTGAAGAGAACATTTTTAAATGCAGACGGGTCCCCCGTTTTTTGGTAGCTTGTTTGAGTTTGTTTTAGGCACAAAAATTAGAATCTTTTCTTTGTTAATTTTTATTACCAAAATTTTTCAAATACAGAAAGAATAGTATAATAAATACCCAGACATCCACTGCCCAGATTCAACAATTGTTAATATTTTGCCATATTTTCATCTTTTTTAATGTTGAAGTATCTTAAAGTAATTTCAGGCATCAACACATCACCCCTAAATACTTCAGTATAAACTTATAAAAAATATGAACTTTTTCCTCATAACCACAATATCATTATCACACCTACCAAATTAACAATAAGTTCTCAATGTCACCTAATATTCAATATGTATTCTATTTCCCACAAATGCACTTCCAAAAAAAATGTTTTTGTAAAGGTCTTGTTCAAAAAAGTATCCTCTCACTTATGCACCCCTATGTTCACTGCAGCATTATTCACAATAACCAAGACATGGAAGCAACCCAAGTGCCCACCAGTGGATGAATAGATAAAGAAGACTTGGTGTACATACATACACATACACACACACACACACACACACACACACACACACACACACAATGGAATACTATTCTGCCATAAAAAAGACAAAAATCGTCCCTTTTGCAACAACATGGCTGGACCTTGAGGGTATTATGCTAAGAGAAATAAGCCAGAAAGAGAAAGACAAACACCGTAGGATTTCACTCATATGCGGAAGATAAACAAACACATGGACAAAGAGAACAGATTAGTGTTACCAGGGGAAGTAGCTGGGGGGTGGGCGTAAGTGGTAAAGCGGTACATATATATGGTGACTGACAAATAATAATGTACAACTGAAATTTCAGTGTTAGTTTCTATTATGACCTCAATAAAATTATAAAAAAGAAAAAAGTATCCTCTCAAGGACCACGCACTATGATTGGTTATGTCTCTTAAGTTCCCTTTAACTTAGAAGAGTCCCCCCTCCCAAACTTTTTCACATCAACTTGGTAAAGAGACATTAAACCCAGGTTTAATATAAAGAATAATTACAACCTACATTTAAAATATTTTCAAGGGACACAAACATATATGAAATGTCAGTAATCAGTACAATGCTCCTTCATGTGAATTCT